AAAATCGAGAAAAGTACACATGTTTTTCAAAATTCTATAACTTCGTCAAAAAAAATCAAATCGATTTGAAATTTTGAGGGCTTACATAGAACTGTTCAAATAACTATTTTCTATTAACAGAAAGTACAAAAAATATTTTTTGCAAGTTTGGCAAGTGTTCAAACTTAACAACTTTTTTCACCATAAAAACAATCCGTGATGAAAAGCTGGATTCAGTTCGCAAAAAACAAAGTATTGCAATTTGATCATATGTAACTAACAGTAGAGGGTTCACTTCAGAACATATCAAATTTTCATGCCATTTGAATGATTTTTCGCAGTTCTATGAACATTTGAATTTAGGCCTTTTCTTTGCAGATTTAAAAATTTTCGCAAACTTTTGACCGGTAGTGTATATATATATATATACTGTTTAGCGTTAACTAAAAAATATTTTCATTTTATTTATCTTCGGCAGTCGTTTTCATTTAACATTCCAACTCTTTTAAAAATATTTATAATTTATTGACCAGCTTGTTCCCTAAAAGAGAATTACTAAACGTTTAATTCATGTAAAAAAAATAATGATCTAGTAATTATTTTTAAAAGAAAACTACTAAATGCTGTTGTAGCAATTGTGCTTTTTAAATGGCGTTAGTGCTAGTTTTTGTAGTAATAGCAATCTAAACAAATCCTTTTTATTCTGCGCTGTAAATACTGTCTGTTAACTAGTCATCATCACTATATTTCTTACATTTATCTAACGAGATTGTATTTTAAAGTATTAAAAAAAATACATACATTTTTAATTTTTCTTTAATCATTTTTGTTTAACATAGCAACTCTTTTAACCATACTTATAACCCTTTTTATAGTTAATTGCTAATTTGTTTTTAATAGAGAATTATTAAATTTTTTCAGGTTTAACATTCTCTGGTAACCATGAATTTTTGCTTAGTGTTAGTGCTAGCTTTTGTTGCAGTAGTAACCTCTCAGTTGCCTTCAGATGAAGAAGAAATGAATATGATGAGAATGCTGTGTAGTAAGTATATTAATAGGACCTTTACTATATTGTTTTCATTTCATTTTATATTATTTTCTTATGACATAAAGTTGTTTTTTTTTCTAAATTCAAAATTATCCCAAAAAAGTCACCAGAAAATTGCCTATAGCAAAAAAGCTATTTGAACTTTTGTGGGACAGAAAACTTTAATTGAAAAATTTAGTCGAGAGCATCTTTAGGAAGTGAAGGCATCGATTTGCTTTATCTATGCAATTTTCGAATTTCAAGTAATTGATTAAAAACCGAGTAATTTTAGAGTTAATTATTTTAGTGTTTTATATTATTTGTCAAAAATAAAACGAACAGTTTTTATCCAACCTCTCCAGAAATTCCGAATAGAAAAAAAATAATACTGCCCAGTTCTGAAAATAATGTATAGTTTTTAATGCACGCTTTAATTGGAAGAAATTCGGTGAAGAACGTATGCTGCAGTGTAATGAAAGATTGCCATACGAAGACTCTTTAGCAAAATTTTTAAAAAATTGAACAAATAGTAACGTTGCCTTTAGGAACATTGCAAAAATCTGTAAGAACCCCTACAACTTAAATTGTATCACATTTTAGAAATTTGTATCAAGAAGCAATTTTCGAAATTTAGCTGTAAGAATTTACATAATGAACATAATAAAATCAAAATATCGTTCAATATTATCTGATATGCACTTGTTACTATCTTCATAAATTCAAAATCTACATTTATCTTTTATGAGATCTACATCTTTCTTTTATGAAACACTTCAAATGACAAAGGTCAAGTTATCTGGAATGTCAATTTATCCGAGCCTACTGCTTTTTTTAAATGAATCAAATATGACGTTTGCCAGTTCCACAATCAAGCCAATAACTTACAGAGGTTTTTTTTTTATTATTATTTCCAATGAGCTGCACAATCAGTCTTCTCGATGAGCAGTCCTAGTGCGTTCTCCAGAGGTGGTATCCACTCTTTCAGGACCACCGCAATGGGTGAGATACCGTTGGTCATGTTAATTTGGACGTCTACTTTCTGCCACACTAGATAGCAGCGCCGAGACTCTATTTGGATGCTAAAGTGCACTAGGAATTTAATTTTGCCGGAAATGCCAAGAGCCAATAAGGCACTCCAGGGATCTAACTTACAGAGGTTTCTGCACAGAAATCTGAAAGGATAACATGCACAGAACAATTTTTATTTTCTTTACCGATTACGTGAGCATGCGCATTTGGTCTGATAAAGGAATTAACGGGATTTCTAGATTATTAGGGTCATTTTAGAAGTAAGGTGCTAGACTCTTGTAAGATAACAAAAATTGAAAATGTATCACGAACATTAACGGGAAAATGGACGTCCGCGCGGACGTCTGATTCGAGAAATTCGTTATCCGCGGGGAATGTTAGACCGCCGAGGACAATCGGAAGGGTGGGGATTTAGCACATTAATTTAATCATTTTAACTAATTCACTACATATTCGCTCAAAGTCGTAGATATATATGTGTCCAAATTTATTCAAGATGCTATTTATGTTCGTAATACCAATAAATGAAAATTTTTGACGAGGCTAAAATATTAAAACCTCAAGATGATTGTTCAATTTTTCTTTTTTTTTTTTCTTTTTTTTTTTTGATAATTGTTCAGTTTGACTGAGTAAATCCAATTTTCCCTTTGTGCCATTGAGTTCAGCATTCAATTCAATGATTTGATTGAACTGAATGTTTGATTTGATTGAAATTGAAAAGCTCCGAACATTTTTAATTTGCAACTATAAGACTTGTATGCATATAAAATTCAAATGTCAGAAATTTAATGGCGTTCTCCTGTGTTATGTTTCCATATATTGCATATGCTTAATTTTTACTTGCAGTTAGTGGTACTGATGAGATGTTCAACGGGATCGACAATTGTTTCCAACGGTATGCATCACAAAGGGTATGTTTGATTTTTATTACCTCTCATGTTTAAAGGTTGCGTCGTTGCTTTCAGGTCACTTAAGAACAAAATAAATAAATAAAAAGTTAGTCAAATTAAGACTTGTGGATTCTATTAAATATTGAAACAAATATTTCGCTACGTTGTGTTTTTTCGTCGGGAGTCTAAATAAAATTCTTATACATCGTTGTATGACGTAGAACATAAAAGAGTAAAATTGTTTCTCTGTCATAGAATTATAGATTTTTGTCCCAAAATTGCACATTATTTACGAAAGAAACCACGTTGCTTTCACTCACACCATTATTTTTGAGTCATAGAAGAAATATTATAAGTGATCGCTATAAAATTACGCACAGTAGCGAGTAAATTAATAAAAGCAAAGAAAAATTCTTGGATTTTTCCAATTTTTAGGAAGAAAAAAATATTTTGGTACTATTTTTATAACAACTCATCCCTGTTGAAGAGATGTTGAACAAAGAAAACTAATGGTTAAAAGAATGAGGTCAAATAGTTACAAAAGAAACATCCACCCATCTTCTTTAGCAAAGGAGGAACTTTCCCACAAAATTTGGCTCCTTACCCAAATTTAAAAATAAAAAAAATAGATATTTAAAAATGGCCGGTAAACTCTCCGAATATTAACCAGATAAGGAGTCCGGTGGCTTCTTGCAAGCAAAGACTCGTAAAATGTATAGCAGAACATAAAACAGCCTCATTTGTTAATTGATTCAAGTTTGCTACAGGATAGGTCAAGTCTGCCAAAAACTATTACAACAAAATCGAAAGTAGGGCATAATTAAGATCAAAATGTATCAAATATTCCCCAAAACACTTACATCGTTAAAAAAAATTATTAAATGTGGAAAACAAATTTTTATAATGAATTTCCCAGTACAGTAGAATTTTAAACTAAATGTATTTTACAGAATCTGGAAATATCTGTTATATGCAAAGAAAGAATCTTCGGATCAGCTGATAAGGAACCTTCCTTCTATGTAAGGCAAGGTTGCCAGAACATGACCCTGATTGAACAGGTACATGCATTTTTAATGCTATCTCTTTATTATTGAATATTATACGCTCATGCATAAACTTTCTTTCCAAATATTAATTTACTAACAGTCGAATGTTCAGGATGTTCTTGAATAAAGTAATTTTAGAGAACTATTCGAACATTCTTTCCCATACATACGTATATTACGTATACACCAAAGAGCCATTATACATTATCACCACCCTGCTAATAGCATGTAGGACCACCTTTAGTCCTCAAAACTGCTAGCACCCGACGTGGCATTGATTCCACAAGGTGCTGATAGGTAGTCTGAGGTATCTGACACCAAGCGCTCACCAACTGGTCCTGCAATTTCCTCACATTGCGAGGGGGTAGCGTGGCAGCACGAATTTGGTTTTCCAAGTAGGACCACAAATGCTCTATTGGACTACGGTCAGGTGAATTTGGGGGCCAAGACATGATTTGAAAGTCACTGGAATGTTCCTCGAACAAATCCATGACGATTCGACCCTTATGATATGGTGCATTATCCTGTTGGTAAACACCATCCCCCGCAGGAAAAACTGTTGCCATGAATGGATGAACCCTGTCTGCAATTATGTTCAAGTAGCTTACAGACGTTAGGGATTGTTCTATGAGGATTATGGGTCCTAATGTGCCCCATGAAAACATTGTTCCTTGGCGAGAAACCATGTAAACCTGGGCGAGCCCATTGTTATAGATGGAGGGTGATCATAATGTAATGGCTCTTCGGTGTATATATTAGGAAAATCATAATTAGGCCTAACAAAAAAAACTCTTAGCAGTAATTAAAAAGAAACGATTTCAGTTTTTCAACAAATTTACACATCGAAATCGATCTTGTAACTTTTAGGGTAATGAACGTAAAATAAGGTCTTTGTAGGCTCGTGATTTTCGATAATTTGAATTTATATAGATTCAGGCTTCAAAATTCAAAAAATAAATATATAGTTTGATAATCTAAACAAATTCAAAAGTAATACCAACACAGTTGCTTTTTAAATGACGTATGCTGTTTAAATAAATCTGTGCTTTGAAGCATAAATTCATGTTTCAAAACTTTCAAA